TGGGAAAGAGATAGTGATCATTGTAGAAATTATTTAGTAAACTCGTCTTTTTGATGAGCTTTATGACTATTATGATCAAGGATATTCTTCTGTTATGAAAATTTGGAAGGCTCTAGATAAAAAAATATGACACCGAAGAAGTCTGGATCCAAAAAATATGCTTACAATCGTTTTTTAGGTTTTAAATGAATGAAGAAAAGCATGTGATGGATCCAATCTATGAGCTTCAAATGATTGCACATGACATCCGCTCCGAAGGCATACATGTAGATGAGCAAATGCTAGTTTCAGCCATCATTGACAAGTCGTTAAAATCTCGAAAAGATTTTGCTAAAGGCTTGAGGCATAAACAAAAAGAGCTCTTCATTGAAGCTCTTATTACTCATTTAAAGGTTGAAGAGGAAGCAAGAAATAGAGACAAAGCTATTGAACTTAACGGTTCAAATGGTACTAAGGTAAACATCATTACATCCGATGAAAATTCCTATCGGATGCCAAAAGCTAATGGAAAGTTTCATGGTTAGTATAAGCCAAAGAAAAAGATTTTTAAGAAAAAGCCTTAAGGAAACCGGTATCACTCCAACCAACCAAGAAATTATGAATCATGTCCCAAACCACCACCAAATAATGGCAACCATAATAATGCTTATGCTTGTTTTGTTTGTGGTAAACCTAGACATGTTGCTAAAAATTGTCGCCTTCGAAAACGTGGGCCTATTGCTCAAGTTAACATTATCAAATAGCCACTTGTGGCTATGATTTTCGAGATTAATATTCTCGAAAGCTCGGATGGGTGGTGGGTTGATTCGGGAGCTACTCGACTTATCTCTTATGACAAAAACTTGTTCAAGACTTATACAATCTTGGATGAGAAAAAGAAAATCATGCTTAGTGATTCTCACACTACCGATGTAGTGGGGGTTGGAGAGGTACTAATTAAATTTATATATGGAAGAGAGGTTACTCTCAAAGATGTGTTGCATGCACTTAAAATTCGTAAGAATTTGGTTTCTAGTTTTCTCTTGAATGAGGCTGGCTTTAAGCAAGTTGTTGAGGTTGACCAATAAGTACTTTCCAAAAAAGGCATATTTATTGGAAAAGGCTATGCTTGTGATGGGATGTTTAAACTTAATATTGAGATGAATAATGAAGGATCCACTTTTGCTTACATTGTTTTTTGTGTGAATGTTTGACATGGTAGATTATGTCATATAAATTGCAAATATGTGAAAAATTTAAGTAATATTGGTTTAATCCCTAAGCTTGAAAATGAGTTTGAAAAATGTGAATCTTGTAGTATGGCTAAAATTTCAAGAAAACCTTTTAAAAGTGTTGATCATAATACCGAATTATTAGAACTAATACATATTGATATATGTGAATTTATTGGTATTCTAACTCGTGGTGGTAATCGTTGTTTTATAACTTTTATTGATGATTTCTAAAAATATTCATATGTTTTTCTTATGAAGCATAAAAATGAAGCTTTTGAAAAATTTACTACTTTTTTAAAAGAAGTTGAAAACATATTTGGTAAAAAGATCAAAAGGCTTTGCAGTGATAGAGGTATGGAATATGGCTCTATTAGGTTCAATAATTTTATGCAAACTAATGGTATTGTGCATGAAGTTACAACTCCATATTCACCTTTTTTAAATGGTGTAGTTGAAAGAAAGAACAGAACTCTTATTGATCCGGTAAGTTCTATGCTTGTTAGTTCTAATGCTCTAAAGAATTTATGGGGTGAAGCTTTTTTATCTCGTAAATTTTGTTTTGAATAGAATTCCTAATAAAATCATATTTTTAACTCATGAATTATGGAAAGGATATAAGCCAAAATTATATTTTTTAAGAGTGTGGGGTTGTTTAGCTTTTGTTAGGCTACCTAATCCTAAAAAACCAAAAAATTGGTAAAAAAGCATCCATTTGTGCTTTTTTCGGTTATGCTTTGAATAGTAAAGCTTTTAGATCTTTTAATTTTGATAATAAAACTATTATTGAATCTTTGGATGCTATCTTTTATGAAAACAAATTTCCTTTTAAGGTAGAAAATAGTGAGGGTATGATTCTTCAACCAAATGTTGAATCTTCTTCTTCAAGATGTAAAAATGAAAATGATTTTGAACCTAGAAAAAGTGAAAGAGTCGGATTTGAAAAAGATTTTGGTTCGATTACTACTTATATAATGTACAAGAAGATCCTATTTCTTTAGAACAAGCCTTATCTTCTCATGATGCGGACTTTTAGAGAGAAGCTATTAATGATGAAATGGATTCTCTAATTTCAAATGATACTTGGAACATAGTTGAATTACCTCCTAGTTGTAAGACAATTGGTTGTAAGTGGGTACTTAAAAAGAAATTGAATCCTATGGGTCCGTAGACAAGTTCAAAGCCGGACTAATAGCCAAAGGTTTTAAACAAAAAGAAGATATTGATTTCTTTGATACTTTTTCTCCAGTAACCAAGGTAACATCTATTAGATTACTTATTGCAATTGCTGCTTATTCATAACTTTTTTGTACATCAGATGGATGTAAATACAGCTTTTCTAAATGGATATTTAGAAGAAGAAATATATATGGATCAACTTGAAGGTTTTATAGCACAAGGTGATGAAAACAAGGTATGCAAGTTACAAAAATCTTTATACCGCTTAAAACAAGTACCTAAACAATGACATAAAAAATTTGATGCTTGCTTACTTAATAATGGTTTTAAAGCAAATGAGAGTGACGAGTGCATATCTTATAAATCCTTTGAGAATGTTCATGTGATTATATATAGATGATCTTTTAATTTTTGGCTTAAACATGGATGTTATTAATAATACTAAATTATTGCTTCAAAATAATATTTGATATGAAAGATTTAGGTGAAGCAAATATGATTGTTGGCATGAGAGTCTATAGAGTTTCAAGTGAAATATTTATTGATCAATCTCATTATGTTGAAAAGCTTTCGAAAAAATATGATTTTTTAGATAGCAAACCGTGGGGAATCCTTTTGATTCTACTATGCATCTATTTCTAACAAAAAATGATAATGACATTTGCTATCAAAAAGAGTATGCTAGCATTATTGGTAGTTTCAAGTATGCTACGGATCGTACAAGACTCGGCATTGCTTTTACTAGCAAACCCAATGCTTAACATTGGATTTCATAACTCGTATAATGAGATACTTGAAAGGTATAATGAATTATGGTTTGTTATATCAAAAGTATCCTGCAATACTTGAAGGATACAGTGATGCTGATTGGAACACCTTATCTAATGATTCATTGTCTACCACTAAATATGTTTTTACTTTAGGTGGAGGAGCAATATGTTGAAAATCTAAAAACGATCGATAATTGTAAAATTCACTATGGAGGCGGAATTGATAGCTCTAGCCTCAACCAAGTGATGAAGTCGGTTGGTTACGTGATCTTTTATATGAAATTCTTATGAGGAAAAAACCTATACAACCAGTCTTAATTCATTGTGATAGCACAACTGCTATTGGAACCGTGCATAATAGATATTATAATGGAAAATCTAGATCCGTTAGAAGAAAACACGAGTACTATAAGTTTGTATATAAACAAAATTGCCATAAATATTGATTACATCAATACAAAGGATAATTTAGCCAATCCTTTCACAAAAGCTTTAGCCAAAGATAAGATCCGAATAGCATTGAGGGGATAGGTCTAAAGCCCAAAGATAAATAAACTACCTATGAGGATACCCTACCTAGTTGACTGGAGATCCCAAGATCTAGGTTCAAAGAAAAAAATGAATCATAAGAGTAATTGATTATCATGCACTAAAATATTTTTCCATCCTATGGTGCAAATGCATGATTCCCATAATGAAAGAAAAGTTAAGTTTCTTGAGAAGAAACTTTTAATATGGTTTATAGTTCTTATTGAATGGGATGCTAGAGTTACGTGAGCATCCTTAATAGACACACTTATATGAGTGAGGAAGTGGGGCTGCTTCCTATGAGAATAAGGCTAATTCTCTAGAATACTCATAGAAGTCGGGATCAAGCACAAGACCGTTAATGTGTTGGCTCGAAACTCATCGCAAAGATGTTCACTATTGGCTTAAGAAAAATATTGTTGAAACACTAAGTAAGGGTTCAAGCCATTGGCACCCTTCTTATGTATTATATTTTTTTCCTTATCCAAAATTATATGGCTGATATTTTATTAAAAATAAGTGGAGGATTGTTGGATTATTTTTAATAAAATATATATTTTTATTTTTAAAAAGAGGTATATTGTTGAAACAAGTAAGTTATACCATTAAAGTGAAGACCTCTAAGTTACTATTTTAAACAATAATTTATACATTGAATTATGTTTTTTTTTAAAAAAATCTACATCGGTTTTTCTTTTCCTTATTCAATGAAAACAACGTCTTTTTTATTCTAAACGTTTCTTCCGTTCAATTCATTTATTTTCAATTAATTTAGGCAACCAACGAGGAATTTTTTTCCTATATAAATGGCTCTTGCTATTTGGTGAACTTCACTTCAATAGAAACATTTCCTTGTTTTGTGGAGAGAGAAAAAATAGCAAGCAATTTTTTTCTTTATTTCACTTAGAGAGAAAGTTTCTTTCAATTTTTTTTTTTGTTTTCCACTAAAAGCCATATTGTTTTTTGTTGTTAATCTTTCTTTAGTTAAGAGTGGTGCTAATTTATAATTGAGTTTCAAATCTTACAAATAGTGCAAACTTGTCAAGACATGATAAGGTGATTGAGCTTATTGTATCCCTAGGACGGCATGCAATATATCCCTAATCCATTACATCGAAAAAATTATGCGGATGGCGCTTATCATCTCAAGAAAGCACCTTGGTTGTGCCTCTAGAGAGTTACTTATAAAAATTTTAGTAAAGCTACTTTGGTGTTTTTCATTCAAAATTTTCGGGTAATATTTTTTTATTTTTCCAACACTCGCCAATTATGATTTATTCTCATGCATACGAACAAGAACACAATTACTTTCTTACTCAACAATCGAAATGAGGAAACTCATGGAAGCACACCACCATTTGTTAAGGATGTGAGCAGTAGAGTCCTTTTGGCTTGGGTGCATGAGGGCATAGATTATATGAATGGTTACTACTTTCAATCCAAACGTGTAATTTGAGGGTACCTTAACAAAAGGTTGCCACTCTTTTATCCCCACTCGCTTAACAATCAGCCAATGTTATGATATGAATAATTGTTTTTAATCTAATATTTAGTTGTGTCTCGCTTTTCCTCATGCTACTTTGGTATTGAAGTAGATACAAGAATTGTGAGCTTTATAGAGATATTAGTGAAATACTCGAGATAGGCTAAAAAAAGAAAAAAGAAAAAAAAAGACAAGAAACCCATCGCTAATGCTCGAGAGACGGAAAAGCATACCCGGATTCCTTCCCAAAGCTCTTCAACCTCGCTAAACGATAAGTTAACTTCAACAAGGTTCTCCGGAGGAAAATTGGATGGGAATGATATGAGTGAGTATTTGTCCTAATGCGGATACCTCAATTCATTAGAAAGAGACTCAAGACCATGAGGAAGGTGCGGTTTATAGCTAATTTTAGGAAAACTACAAATTTTGAGCAATCCGAGATTGTGCATCCTCACAAAGGCCCCGGAGCTTACCTCCATTTCTCTCACTTTAGAAACATCCAAAAATATACCTTCAACCTTTTGTGTTTTTCCGATTTCTTGAAATTGTTCTATTACTATTATAAAAGAAACTAAAAGAAGTGAGGTGTTGCCTATTCACTTACTCGTTGCTCAAGACTCATCTTTACTATTGTTTAAGACTCGGTTACACTCGTTGGTTATTTTTCTTTCAATCTTGGCCCTTGATTACGATTTTACTTGTTCATGGCCGTTTGATGCCCATGTATTGTTTGCCTTATTATTTGTTTCTTTTCCTGTTTTTTAGTTTCGCCCTCTTCCTTCTCCATTATTTCGTTTTGCCATTTCTTTCTTTAGGTCGTTTACGTCTCCGCCCTCGACCTCCATGCTTTCGTTTCCCTCTTTCTTTTCAACCCGAGTGTTTTCCTCGTCGTCTCTTTCGTTTTTTCCCTCTCTACTGTCGCCTTCGACCGTCCCTTCACAATCGATTGGACGTTGTATTTAATCATCTCCATGCTTTCGTTTCCCTCTTTCTTTTCGATCCCGTGTTTGCTCGCCGTCCCTTTTGTTTTTTCCCTCTCTACTCCTCGCCTTCGGTCGTCCCTTCACCATCGATTGGACGTCGCATTTAATGATTTGGTACCGGCTTGTCTTGGGTTCTTTGTCCATTGACATCTCCGTCCCCGAAGCCATCTCTTGCCCTTTTTTTTCCTTTTTTCCCCGTGAGTTTTTTTTGTAATCGCATTCTCTTCTTCCTTCATCGCCGCAACTTGCTCATTTAATGTGATTGTACCTTTTCTTTTTTCTCGGATTTTTTTCGTTTCTCCCTTTGTCCTTTGTTCAACCACTTCCTCCGAATCGAGAGAATGTCTTGTTTTGGGACGAGATTGATCCATGCTTTTCCCAATTTCACACGACGTGCACCACGATGGTCGCTCCCCGCGCCTTCCGCGAAAAAGATAAGCGCTTCTTCCTTCATTTTGGATTTCTTATTATTTTACCGTGCTTCTTTGATTTCCCCTACAACTTCTTATATTTATATCACGTCCCGCCTATGACTTACGTTTTTGCATTTCTCTTGGTTCTTCTTTTTAATCGGGAGCTCATTTTTGCCTCCTTTTTGCTTCGTCGTTTGCCTCCGATTGTTCTTGCAAATGCTTCGAGTTATTATCCCTCTCTCTTTCTTTTTTACTCGCTTTATGTTTTTTCCTTCCCTACTCGATCATCGACTTCCATTGTTACCTTTTTAAAAATGCTTTTGCCTCATACTTGTATGCCTCTTCTTCTTGGGTTTGTCTCGCTCTTCTTTTTGCCTTTTGTTTGTCCTTTCTCTGTTCGTGTGCTTGCCTCTCTGGTTTTGTTTTTGGCGCTTCTCATTTATCGTGTTCTTTTTCCCCTTATCTTTGGTTCTCGCCAGTTTCGTATTGATACATCTTGCCGCTTATTCGTTGGACGTGATTGCTCTACCATCCGATGCTAGCATTGAATAATTAACTTGGTTAAAAGTTCCTTCTATAGATGCATCTCACCTTTTCATTTGCGGGGTGTATACCGTTGTTTATTCTTTTGTTTGACATTATGCAGCATTCTCTTCCTTTTTTTTTTACCCGAGTCACATTCTTTATGGATCGTGGTTAGAAGTTGTTATTCATAGGATTTTTCATCTTTTAGGGTGAATTTTTCGTTTGTTCATGTTCCTAGAATTCCTCATCTTGATTGTTCTCGCCTTGGTTACTTCTCGATTGATTGGCTATATTAATTGGTAAACATTATTTATTACCTCTTCTTCTGTTTGTTCTTTATTTTTTTAAATGTTGTCCATGATGCCTTTTTGTCCATTTGTTGGCGGTTTCAATCATGCTCTGTTTAAGAATTGTTTGTCATGGATGCTCCTTCGGTTCCTTTTTTATTTTTGCTTATAGGCTGCTTTTGCTTTTCCTTCTATGCGGTTCCTTCTTGCTGTTCCTCATGCCCTGTCCTTCCTTCTTCGAGCTCGACAAGTAAGTTCCCTTCTTTCGTTGTTTATTCCTTTTACAGGTGTTAAGAGGTTTCGTTTCCCCTCGAATTGATCCTTCATTATGATGTTTAACTTGCAGGTGTTACCCGGTTTTCTATGTGGTTTTATACAAGTTCATTTCTGTGTCCATTCACTCGCATTCCTCAATTTTTATCTACCCATCACTTCTCATTAGTTTTCTATTCAAGTTAATCTGCTATAAGTCATAATTAGATGGGAGATATTATATCCGCAAGCTAGGCATGTCATTGATGTTTTCCCATGGAAACATTTTAAAGAAAAGGTCGAATTTCTTGGTATGCTCTTTTTCCTATTGCTTGGCAATTTCGGTTACTCTACAATCGATCTTTTTTTCATGAACAATGCTCCTTCGGTCCACTTTTCCATTTTCTTGCCATTTACAGACTTCCTCTTTTTCTAATTGCTTGGTTTTGGTTTTTTTGTTTCGCATCTCCAAGTTGCGGTTCGGAGGTTTTGCATCTCCAAGTCAATTTTCTTGGTTTGTTTTAAATTTCTTTTCGAACTTTTGAGAGATGGTTTTTTGCCTCGGATCGGTCGTTGATTATGATGCTTTTTTTTTTGTTATGTTATTGCTTATATTTTGCCTTCTTTTGTCTTTTTTTTTTAGACATGTTGCTTTCATGATCGTTCAATGATTTCAAAGCTTTTGATGTCTTCATCTCTTTTGCTTAGTTAAGCATTCGGTTATGCTCCGCTATGGATCCGAAAAAATCCTCAAAATAGCTAAATTGAATATATCTATATATAATGATCCGACATTTCTCACAATGTCGGACATTGAAAATGCTTTTGTAAGTTTTTTTTTATTTGTTCCAGTTAGGCTCATAGTTACTGTTTCTATTGGTTGACAATTTTTTTTATGCTTCGATTAAGAATTCTTTATGATCCATACTCGCTTCGCTTCCGCTTTTTTTTCCTTTTCAACTCCTCGCTTCGACTTTGATCGATTGCTTCTTTTCGTTTTTTTTGTTTAGCTCTAAGTTGCAATGCATCGGGGGTTTTCTTCTTTGATCAAGGCTAACCAGCTTAATTTCCTCGGTTAGATTTTTGTTTCTTTTACGGGTTTTGGGAGATGGTTTTTCCCTCGAATAAGTCTTTGATTATGATATTTTTTTCCTAACCAACGCCGCTTCGATCCGCTTTTCCTTTTTCTTGCCTTTGCGGCTTCCTCTTTGTCCGATTATCGGTTTCTTTTTTTTTCCCCAATTCCAAGTTCGTTGTTCTAGCGGCTTTGCTTCTTTCACAAACCGTGACGAGTGAATTTTATTGGTTTGTTTTAAATTTCTGCTGAACCTTTTGGTAGATGATTTTTGCCTCATATCGGTCGTTTGTTATGATGCTTTTTTTCTATGTTGCTTCTCATACTTTGCCTCCTTTTGTCTTTTTTTTTAGACATGTTGCTTTCATGATCGTTCAATGATTTCAAAGCTTTTTATGCCTTCATCTCTTTTGATTAGTTAGGCATTTAGTTTTTTTTCCTTTTCATCTGCTACTTCGACTTTGATCGATTGCTTCTTTTCATTTTTTGTTTATGCGGCTCCAAGTTGCAATGCATTAGGGGTTTTCTTCTTTCATCAAGCTCGACCGGTTAATTTCCTTGGTTCATTTTTTGTTCCTCTTGTTGCTTTTTGGGAGATGGTTTTTCCCCTTCAATCAGTTCTTGAATATAATGCTTTTTCCCTATGTTATTCATTTAACTTCATTGTTTTCGCTGTGCTTTTTTCTCTACTAATTGGTTAGGCATTCTTTTAAATTAAAAGCTTGATTACTTGCATGTCCTTATCTCGGAGCGAGTTATCAAGATAGCTTCTTTCACAATGTACGTATATCTAACCGACTATTTTTGTCTTTTATCTTAGATTCGGTTGATTTGCTCGAAAAATATGGACTCCCGCTTATTTGTTTGTGAGCATGAACCTTTTCCTTCGTCGTTGCTCAAATTGACTCGTTGGTTTTTTAAAATTTGACGCTTTGTCATATTACAAATGAAAAAAAAGATTGCCGATCTTGAATATGGGACTCATGGTCACAAGTTCTTTTTTTTTTTTAAGACCCTTTTAGCAAATATTCTCCGTTCCGTGGAACCGATTGTTAACCATTATGTTTATATTGAATTGTTTTAATGTCACTTTGTTTTATTTTGACATTTGTTGCCCTTCTTCTATGAGAACCACTTTTTGTGATGCCCTTATTGGTTTATTCTTTCTACGCTTATGATTGTCGGTTTCGACATCAACGAACACAAATTCTTTTCAATTTGTTTTTGGTTCAATTTCTTTTGAGCGTTTGCTATATGATTTGTCTGGTTGAATTTTTCCTTTTATCTTCTTTTTCTTTATGGACTTTTGCCAGCATATCTTATGATATTTGATTTTATTTTTTTCATGTCCTCTCAAAGCTTTGGTCCGTTTGCTCCTCATTTGATTTTTTTTTATTATTGCCATCGATCTTGCTTGTTTTCAACCGAGTATTATTGTTGCCCTTCGAACTAACAAGCTCCTCGATGTTTTTGGATTGTGCAGCTTCATTTGTCCTCGCTTGGAAGTCGTTCTTTTCTTCATCTAAACTAGTAGGTTTTTGCTTCTTTGTTCCCTTTCTTATTATAGTTTTTTGCCTCCTATTTTTCTCTTCATTCATGGCGCTTATGCTTATGTGACGCGCTTTTCCACTTCATTTTACTCGCTTCCTCTTTTTGATAATAGGGCTCAATGTTACTCGTAGATCATTGCTTTATTTTTTTTATCTTATCGCTTTTGAGGCCGATCGAGCTCTTTTTTTAAAAAAAAACCTATAGTTATTTTTTTGCCCTTGCTTTAAAAGCTTTTCCATTCTTCTCTTTTTCCCATCTTCATTCAACAAGATCGGTTTTGCTTCTTTGTTGCACGGCTCCAGTTTCTAGTGCTTCAAAGGTTTTCCTTTCATTAAAACTAACGAGTGAGCTTTTTTCATCGCCTCCAGCCCCTTTGATTCCGTTGCGGCGTTTTTTCTTTGCTTGAATCAGTTATGCTTGAGAATGGTTTCTTGCTATGTCATGTGTTATTTTTTGCACTGGTTGTCTTTTTATCTTTTTGCATCCTTTTCCTCACCATTCATTGAGTGGAATTTGCCGCATTCTGTTGTATGGTTTTTTGTTTTTTGCTCCATTAATAGATAACAATATGTATGCAAGCTTTCGGAGAGAGCATCAATAGTTGAGAAAAAACATTCTAACAAAACTAAATTAGTCGCCTCAACATTTGATCGTGCCTTTGCCAAGCATTCTTTCTCCTGGTTTTCTTATACACTCTATACTTGGCTAGGTTAACCAGATTTAGGTTGCAGAGCTAACATAGAAATGAACAACATGGAGAACTGTTCTTCTAAATAAAAATATATCCGCTTATTGATCTATAAGTATTGTACTAAAACTCTGTCATGGAGCTCGATGAAACGTCTTTGATTTTTTTTCCAGAAAAAAAAAACTTTTCTCATGAAAACAATGTCTTTTCTAAAATTCAGATCGCCATATATATAAAAAAAGGAATTCATATGAATATTTAATATTTTTAACAATATACATCCTCGAGCGAGAGAAAGAAAATTTTTTCCCAGATCTTGACTGCGAAAGACACTTGCATAGGTTTTGATTGGTTGTTTTATTATTGATTTTCCCATTGGCTATGACATTTTCCATTTTTCCCCTATACCTTGATGAAACATTACCGATGCGACTTTTTCGTATACACTCGTCGAGGCCATTACGATCTTGTTTCTTCTTTTGCACTTGTCAAGTCAGATAATTATGACGGATCTATAGTTTTGCCATTTCTTCGTTGTGTACTTAATGAGAACTATTATAATAAACCATTTTGATTGAATAAAACATTAATGAGCAGCAAAGCATTACGATAAGCCTTAATTGATGTATTTTTATAAGTTGTTGACAATGTAGTCCGTTAAAA